TGCTCCATTTTATAGGAAAAGGACATGTTTTGGAGCAGGGCTTCTAGAAAAAGATGTTGTTTTGGAGCAGGGCTTCCCCCTGCACTGTCAGAGGGACAGGGCATGTCGGCTGCCTTCCCCTATGAACGACTGCAGGGTGTGAAGGTGGGTGTGCAGCCAGGGGTGCCCAGGGCTGTCCTTCAGAGCAGGGTCCCTGGGCTAAAGGGGGCTGTGTGCCAGGGCAGGGACTTTGTCTCCTGCCAGGGTCAGCACTCAGCCTGCCTGGGAAGCTCCCAACGGCAGCGCAGGTATAAGCAGTGGGAGGAAAAAGCAACTCATGGCTTATAAGGGTGTTCTTCTGCTGTCAAGAGGGTGCTGTGTGGGTCAGGGCTGCTCACAGCTCCACATCATCCCAGAACATTCCTGAGGGGACTTTTCAAGTGTAAGGACAGGGCAGGATTTGCTGCCAAGAGAAGAATCTTTCCTGAGTCTGATTTTTTCCTGCTCTTAAGGAATTTTGAGAGAGAAATAGAAAAGTAGCTCCCGTGCTTGAGCACGTCACTGAGACTCCTGTGCTGGAACTTTGAGATAACAGTAGGTGTGACAGAAGCCTGTGAAAGTGCCTTGAGCCACTCCTCTGCCTATGGACAGCACCAGCTTCACCTTTGCTGGATCCATCAGGGTTGTTCTGACCTGCCCGTTTCCACCTGCAAAGAGGAACATGAGCCCAGCCAGTGCCCTGCAGACAGGCAGGTTTGTATAGGGACAAGATGAGTGCACAGAGGTTGGGATGGAGTCTGTGAACATTCGTGGGGAAAGACCTGGCAAAGGGAAATCCCTCCTAGGAGAAAAATTTCCAGACAGAAGGGAAATGGTCATGGAACGAGAAGAAATGATAACTTCAAATATTTTGGGGTGGAGAATTCAGAAAACTGCCTATCACCCCCTCCAATGCAGAGCCCTTCCTCTGAGGAAGACCGCTCCCCTCCTCTCCCACCCAGCAAAGCCTCATGGTGCAGCTCTCCCACACTGTATCCATTTTTCTCTGCAGAGCACAGGGGCTGAGAGCAGCTGCCCAGCAATGTTGGGGTCTGGGAGGTGGCAAGGGCAGCTGGGTCAGGGGAACGCTGTCCTGAGTGCCCACCTGCCTCTGCCCTTGCCTCTCTGAGCCAGATACTCACTGTAATTTTCCTTGTTTCTCCCCTTGTCTGTGTTATTGTTGTGATTTTGCTGTTCCTGCTGTCAAGCTCTCTGGGGGTTGGAGTTTCAGCTGCAGAATCGCACACTGATCTTGTGGGTCCTTTATGCAGGTGTGTCCATGGGAACACAAAGTGTCTCAGTTTTTGTCGCACTTGTGGAGATCTGGTCAATACAGTCTGTGGGGCTGGGATATGAGCTGACCATTACTGAGATGCCATCACTAGGACACTTGGGTATCCCCTAGAGCTGTGAGCTGCCCTGCAGGATGCAAACCTGTTCCGTGGCACCTCTGGTTTATCTTAAAGCCCTGTAGACTGCAAAGCCTCTACAACTGAGGAAATGCTGGTTAAAGGAGCCACGTGTGTTTCATTGGCTACAAAGTGGGCTGTTGAGACCTATAGAGAGATATTTTGTGGTCTGCACTGGATCCCTCTGCTCTCAACAATGTCTGGTGTTTTTTCAGCGTAACATGGGAGTGTGATCACCCTCCTTCTGAGAACGGTGCCAGCCCAGGACAACAGGGAGAAAGAGAGTGGGACAGGCAAGCTCCCCTCTCCCTGCACTAAGCCCCAGGCAATTACCTTGCCTTGCAGGACTCAGCGTGCTCTCCCTGAGTGCTGCAGAAATGCTGCGGGGTTCTGACATCCAAGAACACTCCTCAGCTGAGATGGGGGGAGCTTTAAGAGATGCCAAGGCTCTCAAACTGCCTTCTGTCATCCTGGTCATTCAGCACTGAAAGAGCAGAGGCTGGCAAGACATCTTATGTTCGGTGCAGTTTAGTCTGCAGAAGTCGAACACCAGGTCTATAAACACAGTGCTGACTGCTTGGCAGGCAGCAGCCCTGCCCCTCAAGGCACATTGAGCCACCACCAACCAGGGCTGATGTCTTTGAATTGAAGGTCTACAAAAGGAAAGAGAGATGTGTGAAGCAGAGGAGGGTGTATGAGAAATGGCTTTGATTTTTCAGAGAGAAATTTCCTCTAATTATGCACTGTCTTTTCCTCCTTGGAAGTTCCCCATGCACACAGACATTATCTAATGACAACTCCATCACTGAGTTCCTCCTCCTGGTATTCACAAACACACAGGGGCTGCAGCTCTTGCATTTCTGGCTCTTCCTGGGCATCTATCTAGCTGCCTTGCTGGGAACTGCCCTCATCATCACTGTTGTAGCATGCAGCCACCGCTTCCACACCCCCATGTACTTCCTCCTCTTAACCTCTCCCTCCTCGACCTGGGCTTCGTCTCCACCACTCTCCCCAAATCCATGGCCAGCACACTCTGGGACTCCAGAAGCATCTCCTATCTGGAAATTGTTGCACAAATTATTTCTTTCTCTTCTTTATCTCTGCTGAGTCATAGTGTGAATTACCTCCTTGGCAGAGGGACTGCTGATCACAGAATCATAGAATCATAGAACCATAAAGATTGGAAGGCACCAACTCTACCCAAAGCCATGGCCAACTCCCTTTGGGACACCGGAAGCATCTCCTATCCGGAATGTGCTGCCCAGGTTTTTTGCTTTCTCTTCTTCATCTCCGCTGGATCACAGAATCATAGAATCATAGAACCATAAAGATTGGAAGGCACCTTAGAGATCACTTAGTTCCGACCCCACTAAAATGAGTAAGGACACCTTCCACTAGACCAGGTTGCTCAGAGCTCCATCCAACCTGGCCTTGAGCACTGCCAGGGAGGGGGCAGCCACAGCTTCTCTGGGCAACCTGTGCCAGTGTTTCACCACCTTCATGGTGAAGAATTTCTTACTAATATCCAATCTAAATCTGCCCAAATCTGCCTTCTTTTAGTTTAGAGCTGTTCCCCATTGTCGTATCACTACACATCCTTGTGAAAAGTTCCTCTTCATCCTTCCTGTAGGCCCCCTTCAGGCACTGGCTGTTGCTCTAAGGTCACCCCCGAGCCTTCTCTTCTTCAGGCTGAACAGCCCCAACTCCCTCAGCCTGTCCTCATAGTAGAGGTACTCCAGCCCTCTGATCATTTTTGTGGCCCTCCTCTGGACTTGTACAACACATCCATGCCCTGCCTATGTTGGGGGCTCCAGAGCTGGACGCAGGACTCCAGGTGAGGTCTCACGAGAGCAGAGTAGAGGGGCAGAATCACATCCCTTGAGCTACTGGCCGCACTTCTCGATGCAGCCCAGGATACGGTTGGTTTTCTGGGCTGCCGGCGCACATTGCCAGCTCGTGTTGAGCTTCTCATCCACCTGTACCTCAAAGTCCTTCTCCTCAGGGCTGCTCTCAAGCCACTGTCCACCCAGCCTGTACTTGTGTTTGGGATTACCCCGACCCACATGCAGGACCTTGCACTTGGCCTTGATGAACTTCGTGCATTTCACGCAAGTCTACCTCTCCATCCTTTCAAGGTCCCTCTGGCTGACATCCCTTCCCTCCAGCATGTCAACCACACCACACAGCTTGGTGTCGTTGGCAAACTTGCTGAGGGAGCACTCAGTCCCACTGTCCATGTCGCCGACAAAGATATTGAACAGCACTGGCCGCAGTACCGACCCCTGAGGCACACCACTCGTCACTGGTCTCCACCTGTTCATCGAGTCAGTTCCTTATCCAGTGAGATGTCCATCTGTCAAATCCATGTCCTTTGAAATTAGAGACAAGGACATCATGCAGGACAGTGTCGAGTGCCTTGCAGAAGTCCAGGTCGATGACGTCGGTTGCCTGTCCTTTGTCCATCAATGCTGTAACCACATCATAGAAGGCTACCAAGTTGATCAGGCATGATTTGTCCTTGGTGAAGCCATGTTGGCAGTCCCCAGTCACCTCCCTGTCATCTTGCCAGGCACAGAGGTGAAGCTGACTGGCCTAGAGTTACCCCGATCTTCCGGGGGAAATAAAGGTATTTCCATCTAAAAATGGGAGTGATGATGCCCCTTCTCCAGTTGGTGGGGACCTCCCCAGACCACCACAACTTGTCAAATATGATGGAGAGTGGTTTGGAAACCTCATCCACAAGTTCCCTCAGGACCTGTGGATGCGTCTCACCAGGGGTGAGGGAAAATTCCTGAGCACTCATCTGTTTGTGCCTGTGCTGCCTCCATTAACAGGTGGATTGAGGAATTCTCCATTTCTCCCCTCCTCTGCATGCTGCCTTTGTTCCCAGCTAAGGTGGGAGCTCTGGGCAATGCTGTTTGCAGGGCTCAGGGAGGCAACTCTCCATTCAGGACACGGGATCATTAGGATTTTTCCTGGACTCACCTGCTCTCAGCATTGTCCACTTTCTTCTCAGGTGAACCTCTGGGTGCATTTACCTTCCAGCTCAAAGAGGAGACAGCCCAGGGCAGCTGAGACCAGGGCCGATGGACAGACTGGCTGTCCTCATTCTGCACGAAGGGATAGTCCCTTTGCTTCAGAGGACTCACAGGGTTCATCTTGAAGTCAAACAAAAATGACAAGCATTTCTGCATTTAAAATACTACGCACTGCGGTGGGACAACTAGGACAAAATAACTAAAATAAAATCCCCGCGGCTCTTCTCTGCAGCTCAGGGCTTAAAAGTTCTTAAATATTACAGGTTGAGTTTATTTAACACCACTCACAGTTGCTATGAATCCACTGTGTTATGGTAGAACTGATTCCCCCAGAACCCACAGAAAAACCCTCAGCTTCCTGAGTCATCCTCAGCCAGCACTCATCAGAATTCACAGCCAAAGTTCTTTCTGAAAGAGGAGAGGTGATCTGGGGGAGGGTCCATAAGAACTGGAATAGATTTTACTCTGAGACATCTACCCTAACTTGTCACTGCCTCTTCCTCCTTGAACAGGAACTAATGACCAGAGGTAGCAAATGTCCAACAGCAGCTGCATCACACAGTTCCTCCTGCTGGCATTCGCAGACACACGGGAGCTGCAGCTCTTGACCTTCTGGCTCTTCCTGGGCATCTACCTGGCTGCCCTCCTGGGCAATGGCCTCATCATCACTGCCATAGCCTGTGACCACCACCTCCACACCCCCATGTACTTCTTCCTTCTCAACCTCTCCCTCCTCGACCTGGGCTCCATCTCCACCACTGTCCCCAAAGCCATGGCCAATTGCCTCTGGGACACCAGGGCCATCTCCTACACGGGGTGTGCTGCCCAGGTCTTGCTTTTCTTTTTCTGTGCTGCAGCAGAGTTTTATCTTCTCACCGTCATGGCCTATGACCGCTATGTTGCCATCTGCAAACCCCTGCACTACGGGACCCTCCTGGGCAGTAGAGCTTGTGTTCACATGGCAGTGGTCGCCTGGGGCAGTGGGTTTCTCAATGCTCTGCTGCAAACTGCCAACACATTTTCACTCCCACTCTGCCATGGCAATGCTGTGGCCCATTTCTTCTGTGAAATCCCTCAGATCCTCAAGCTCTCCTGCTCAAACGCCTACCTCAGGGAAGTCTGGCTTACTGTAGCTAGCATCTGTTTAGCTTTTGGCTGTTTTGTTCTCATTGTGGTGTCCTATGTGCAGATCTTCAGGGCTGTGCTGAGAATCCCCTCAGAGCAGGAGCGGCACAAAGCCTTTTCCACCTGCCTCCCTCACCTGGCCGTGCTCTCCCTGGTTATCAGCACCTCATTCTTTGCCTATCTGAAGTCCCCATCTATCTCCTCCCCATCTCTGGATCTGGTGGTGTCATTTCTGTACTCGGTGGTGCCTCCAGCGGTGAATCCCCTCATCTACAGCATGAGGAACCAGGATCTCAAGAATGCAGTCTGGAAATCCATGACTGCATGGTTTTCTATAGCATTAAACTGTTTATCATCTGCAAATCACTCATAATGTAAGTCGTTACAGGCCCAGCCCGTCTTCTGTAGTTTTATTTCGGGATTTTGGGGGACGTTTTTTTTTTTTTTTTTCCCCTTTTTTTTTTTTTTTTTTTTGGATTTTGGGGGACGTTTTTTTTTTTTTTTTTCCCTCTATGTTTTACTTTATGTATTATTTTCCATCAATTAATGCCGTTATTTGTGCCATTTCCAGTTATGTATGTATCCAGCTTCTGTGTGACCCACAGACCATGTAAATGAGAAGCCATGCTCTCTATGTGTTTAAACAATATAAAAGACCTTCCAGAGACTTTTTTGCCTGAGATCCTTCCTTTGAGACTTTCCCTGGAGCTGCAGGGGCAGTGCACATGTGCAGAGGGAGGGGCGAGAAGAGTCCTGGCAGGGCAGCACTGTGCTTAGTCTTTCCAAAACTGCTCTCTTCCCACTTCCATTCTCTCCTTCTTAGCTCTTATGTTGGTGTAAGTCCTAAGTGCTCTTGCAACTTGGTTACTGTCCTGCGGTGTGGCAGTCCTGTGAACACAGGCAGGGACAGATAATGGACACTTCTGTGACAAGTCTGGCCTCCATAACAGCATTTCCATCATACACAGGGATCTCCTCAGGCAGTATCTGAAGGCTTAGGTCTTCTTCCAAAGTGTTCTCTCAAGTATATATTCAAGAAAATGTCAAGGAAAGAAAAAAAAACACTGAACATTCTAAGTGTGTGAGTGTGCAGGGTGGAGTGAACAAGAAGTGTCCTCGCACTGCCAGGCTCCTGGGAGAGACAAGAAGGTCCAGGACAGCAGGGCCTGTTCTGTGGCCATGCACGCTGAACATGCCAGGGACGTTCCCCATGGCAATCATCACAGCCCAGTCAATAACAACCACCATTTCCAGCACTGACCTCTTACTCCGGCTCTGAGAGGTTCTTGATCCTTCCATTGAGGGACACCAAATGATTGGCTCAGAAGGCCATCTTTGCACTGTACATATGAGATGTAAGCATGCCCATCGTGGGCGGGTGGTGGGATGAAAACACCGCGATGCACAAAAAAGTCCTCCACCTTCCCCTGCCAGTCCCACAAAGGCTTGTGGGACAGACACTGTCTCGAGGTCGCTTCACGGTGAGAGTAACATCCCATGGGAAACCACCTGAATTCAGCACTGGAATGTGCTTCCTTGAACAGAGGTCCCTGTGTCCATTCCTCCTGCCATGGGGCATCTCACACGAGTGAGACACCATGCCTCCTGCAATGCACTGCCTCTGTGTGTGTGTGTGCCTTGGCAGAGCCCTGACATTTCTGTCTGTGACTCCAGGAAGAAGCCCACTATCCCACTGGCATTCATCTTGCCTGCCTTGGACAGCTTTGCTGTGAAAGTCTCTGTGTGCTGTGGAGCATTTCACCTGTGCAGTCAGAAGGGTTCCGCAAGTGTGAGCAGCATTGCCCTCTAGCAGAGGGCATTTTCACCTTTCAGAAAGCACAGAGCACATTTAGGAAATAGGAATATACTCAGAGGCACACACACCTTCTTTCTGAAATTCCTTTTCAAGTTCTTTAGACAACTGAGAAACAAACAAAAGTTCTTCCTCATAGGTGTCCTACCAGGAGAGAGAGGACAAGAGGGACGTTATCACTAGAAGGAGGAAGGGGAATGGGACACTCGGATATCATCAGCAGACTTTCAGCAGCTGTGAACGGGGAATGTTCCTCACCATTCGAGAAAGCTCTTTGTCCTCTTTCTCCTGACCTGCCGCAGGACAGTGGTTGGGAACACCTGCACTATTTTGTGCCTGGTTGCAAACCAGTTTTCGTACAACCCTGGGAGCATCTGCTTGGGGAATTTGTCCCCCCTGGAGACCTGTTGTAGGTCCAGCACACTTTCCTGGCTGCTGGTCAGCTTCCTGACTGGGGACAGCATCACCTCTGATCACAGTGGTGTTTGCACTGTTGTCTGCACATTTTGCCTGCGCTGAGTGTTTCTTGCTGGTGGCCATTTCCAACAATTAATACTGGGCTGTGTGCCACCCACTTCTCTTTGTAAGAGTCAGGAACTGGCAGATCTGTCTCTAGAAGGCGGCCGAACCTTGGCCAGGGGGATTTCTGTCACCTACAGTTATCACCTCATTCTCATCCCAGTTACAGCTCGGTGACCCCAGCATCCTGGATCACTTCTATGATTCTGCTCCATGTCTGCAGCTTTCCTGCAGTGACACCTTCCTGCTCTTTCCTTTCATAACATGCCTATAGTTCCCATCTTTCCCTTTCTTTTCACAAGGGCATTAGGTTGACCTGGTTGCTCCTCTGGTGTTAACTAACCAGGTGGCTTTTGCTAAATGAATGTCCCAATGTTTGAAGGTCCGATTCCCTGTCGCTTTCAGAGCAGTTTTTAACAGTCCAGTGTAGTGTTTGATTTTCCCAGAGACTGGTGTGCCGAGTTTCAGCATCCATGCAGGGACACAAAGGACTCTTACACATTGATACAATGCACAGACAATTCCGATTTATTGGTCTGCTTGCGTGGTTATATACATTTTTCCTACCTGCACAGGTGATCACGCTTATTCAGATAAGGCTACAGACATAAATCACACGCTGTTCACACGCCCCACATTCCCTTATGATTGGTAACTATGCACTAACGCCAATAGCAACAGACTGCCTGCACGTCCTTGAACACATCTTGTTTTTGCTAACCCACATCATGTGCACTCTCAGAACTTTCTCAATTGTTATTCTTAGCTGTCCTTTCCGGCGGCCTGTCCAGTTATGTGAACTGTTTTGCTTAAGCAGCCTAGGCATGGTAACTCTCAAACTACATCGACCCCAACACTGGTGCATGATAGGCGATGTGATGCACCCACTCAAAGCCATGCTCTTTGGCCCAGGTGTCCATGAATTTGTCTCAGAAATGAGTCCTGTTGTCTGATTCAATTCTTTCGGGAGTGCCATGTCTCCATAAGACTTGCCCAGGACAGGGGCGGTGCATGGGACACAGGATAAGTTTCCAGCCATCTGATAGTGCTTCAATTAACGTGAGCACATAGCACTTACCTTGGTGGGTTTGTGGCACTGTAATGTAGTCAATCTGCCAAGTCTCCCCATATTTATATTTTAGCCATCGTCCTCCATACCACTGAGGCTTTTCCCGCTTGGCTTGCTTGATTGCAGTGCGTGTTTCACATTCATGGATAACCTGTGCGATGGTGTCCATGGTTAAGTCCACCCCTCGGTCACGAGCCCATCTTTATTTCATGTCTCTTCCTTGGTGGCCTGAGGCGTCATGTGCCCACGAAGCTATACATAATTCAGATTTCTTTTGCCAATCCAAATCCACCTGAGACACTTCAGTCTTGGCAGCCTGATCCACCTGCTGTGGATGACTGTATTTTCGTGTTCATGTCTGCTGTGGTATCAGTGCGACCCACCTACTCCACATAGCATCAGTGGCATGGTGTGTAGAGGGGACCTTGCCTTTTAACATCCAGCTCAGAATCAACAGTCAGGGTGCCAAGAGGAGCTGTGCTTCATCTCTTTCTCAGCTGGAGTATAGCGGGCCTTGGCTCCTCTGAATCCCTGACTCCAAAACTCCAGGGGCTGACCTCGTGTCTGCCCTGGTGCTTTCTGCCAGAGACTCCAGGTCGGGCCACTCTCGCTGGCTGTGGTGTAGCGCACATTTCTAACATCTTGTCCTGCCTGGACCGGCCCTACTGCTACTGAATGAAATATTTCTTGTTTAATTTGTTCAAAGGCTTGTTGCGGCTCGGGGCCCCATTCAAAATCATTCTTCTTCTGGTTCACTTCCTAGAGAGTGCCTACAGTTGCAATGTAGTTTGGGATATGCATCCTCCAGAAACCCACAATGCATAAGAAAGCTTGTGTTTGCTTTTTGCTTGTTGGTGGAGACATAGCTGCTCTTTTGTTGATGATATCCATTGGGATCTGACGATGCCCATCTTGCCATTTTATTCCTAAAAATGGGATGTCCTATGCAGGTCCCTTGACTTCACTTCATTTGATGGCAAAACCGGCGTTCAGAAGGATCTGAAGTATTTTCTCCCCTTTCTCAAAAACTTCTTCTGCTGTGTCACCCCATACAATGATGTCATCAATGTACTGTAGATGTTCTGGAGCTTCACCCTTTTCCAGTTCAGTATGGATTAGTCCATGGCAAATGGAGGGAATGTGTTTCCACCACTGGGGCAGTCGAATCATAGATTCATAGAATCTTGAAGGTTGGAAAAGACCTCGAAGATCATCAAGTCCAACCGTCAATGAATCACCACCATGCCTGCTAAACCATATCCCTGACTACCACATCTACACATTTTCTGAACACCTCCAGGGATGGGGACTCCGCTACTTCCCCAAGCAGCCTGTTCCGATGCCTGGCCACTCTTTCAGCAAAGAAATTTTTCCTAATATTTAGTATAAACCTGTCCTGACATATCTTGAGACCATTTCCTCTTCTCCTATCGCTAGTTACTTGGGAGAAGAGACCAACACCTGCCTCACTATAACCTTCTTGCAGGTAGATGTAGAGAGCGATAAGGTCTCCCCTCAGCCTCCTCTTCTCCGCACTAAACAGCCCCAGTTCCCTCAGTCGATCCTCATAAGACTTGTGCTCTAGACCCTTCACCTGCCTCGAGGGTTGCTCTTCTGTGGACACGCTCCAGCACCTCAGTGCCCTTCTTGTAGTGAGGGGCCCAAAACTGAAACACAGGAATCGAGGTGCGGCCTCATCAGCTCTGAGTGCAGGGGCAGAATCACTTGCTGGCCACACCATTCCTGATCCAAGCCAGGATGACATTGGCCTTCTTGGCCACCTGGGCACACTGCTGGCTCATGTTCAGCCGGCTGTTAAACAAACACCCCAAGGTCCTTTTCTACTGGGCGGCTTTCCAGCCACTCCTCCCCAAGCCCGTAGCATTGCATGAGGTTGTTGTGACCCATGGGGAGGGCATGGCACTGGGCCTTGTTGAACCTCATACAGTTGACCGCGACCCATTGATCCAGTCTGTCCAGATCCCTCTGCAGAACCTTCCTTCTCCCTGAGCAGAGTGACACTCCCACCCAACTCAGTGTCATCTGAAAACTTACTGAGGAAGCACTCAATCCCCTCATCCAGATCGTTGACAAAGACACATAGCATCTAGCCTGTCTTTTTAAGTGCCCAAAGCTCGTTTCTTCGGTCTTCAATCTTTGTTATCAATGTGCAAACCCGCCTTTTATCACCCACAGCCTTTTTCTAGGGTCCATAGTTTCATATGAAGGGTCCAAATGCTCATTTTTAAGTCAGAAAGCCTCTTTTTAGGCTCCAAAGCTACATTTTTAGGAACCTCCGCTGCACAGTTGCTTCTGGTGTGCCAAGTGCCGGAGGAGTTGCTATGGCAGGAGCAAGCTCCTGGCTTGTGCAGGTGCTTGTGATGTCATAGGTGGCTAAGGATGTGGCAGGGTGGGAGTAGGAGCTGGCTTGTGCAGGTGCTTGTCATGTCATCAGTTGCTCAGCAGCTGTTAAGGTAGGAATAGACACCTGACTTTTTCAGTCGTCCGTTGATACCATTGTGATGTTACTCGTGTCTCTGCAGCCATGAGGGCAGGAGCATGCCCCTGTCTTCTGCAGCTTTTGGTGACGTCGTGGGTGGCTGACGAGGAAGGTGACATGGGAGGTGACAGGCAAGATTCAGGCCCCTGGCTTGTGCAGCTGCTTGGGATGTCCCTGATGGCTGATGAGGTGATGGGACAGAAGCACACCCCTGATTTCTCTGTTTCCTGGAAGGTCATTGTTGACCGAGTGGGCAATACGTGCCAAGCAGCACCCCAGCATGTGACGGTGCTTGTGATATCCTAGTTGACAGAGTAGGTGATAGGGCAGGAGTGTGCCCCTGGCATGTGCAGGTGCTTGTGTGGTTATAGACACCTGAGCTGGGGTTAGAGCAGGACCTGGCTTGGACAGCTGATTGTGATGTCACTGCTGGCTGAGCATCCTTTTGCCTAGGAAAAGACACTTGGCTTTTGCAGGTGTTTGTGATATCAGAGGTGTCCCTGCAGCTCTTAGGGCAGGAGCATGTGGCTGGCTTCTGCAGATTGCTGTGATATCTGGTGCATGATCTGGTTAAATTTAATGTGGTTGGGGATTGCCCAGTTCTTTAGTCTCTGCAGATCTCTCTGAAAGGCTTTTCTACCATCAAGGGAGTGCAAGATCCTCTGAGTTCAGTGTCATCAGAAAACTTCCCTCATTGATGTTCAATTCCAGCAATGAGATCATTGAGAAAAACAGGAAAGAGCAGTGGCTGTAGAATCGTGCCTAGGGGAAACGCAGCAGTGACTAGCTGCCAGACTGATATAGCCCCATTTCCTAGAATTCTTTGAGCGCTTTCCAGTCCTCAAAGACTCATTTGGAGGGCCAAAACCCTCCTTTTCAGAGAACAATCCTTTATTTTATCACCCATAGCTTTGTTTTAGGGCCCACAGTTTCATTCTGAGGCTCTAGACAGTCAGAATTGAGGATAAAAGCCTCATTTCAAGTTCTAAAGCTACCAACTTGAGTGTCCAGACCCTCATTTTTGTAACCCAAACCCCCCTTTGAGGGCCTAGAGACTCATATTCTCATCCAAAAGTATCATCTTTAGTGTCCAAGCCCTCATTTCTAAGTGCCAAGACACACTGTTAGGGTTTAGAGACTCATCTGAATGGTCCAAAGCATCATTTTTAGGGTCCAAAGTCTGATTTGGAATGTGCAAAGCCTCAGGTTTAGAGTCCAAAGCCTTTTTTATAGGGTCCAAACTTTCATTTTCAGTCACCAACCCTCATTTTTAGCTTCCAGAGCCTGCTTTTCATGGACAAAATCCTTTTTTCTTTAATCCAGACTCCTCATTAAGAGTTCAAAGCCTCAGTCTCATTTCCAAAGCCCCATTTCTAAGGCACAAACCCCCATTCTTAAGGCCCAAACCTTTTTTTGGAAGCTCCAAACTCTGCTTTGGAGGGTCCAAAGCCCTCTTTTACAACTCAAAGTGTCTGTTCAGATACCCAAAGCCCTGTATTCACGTCTAAAGTTCCATTTCTGGGGATATCTGGTCTCACTTATTGGGGGAGGGGAGAGGTGATCTTTTTTCGATTCTCTGTGCAGTATCCAGCAGTCACAACAATGACTGAAGAGGCTTGAATGAAAAACAAAGCTCTAGTTGGAATTCAGTGGGATTACAGAAGATGGTAACTTTGCAACTTCGTAACATTGCTTTTAGCGCAGTGGGGTTAGAACAGATATTGACTTGGCAAAACTTACAACAACATAATGTCCGATTTCACAAAACTATGAAGTATAGCGGATTGACAATCTTACAACAATGGTAACCTTATGTGCCTAGAAATTCAGAGATAGAGAAAGAAAGGAAAACAAAAGGAAAGATAAGAGAAAAGATATCACCCCCCTTGGATCCACCCATGGTCGTTGCTGGTAGTCAGGGTCCTCTGGTGGCAGGTGCACACCTGCCTACAATCACATCTCATATTTATACAGTTAAAAATGTTAGTGCCGCCCAGTAGCCCTACGCTTCTAACCAGGATAGGTTAGTTTCCTCCTCGCTTTGGTTTAATGTCAGTCCTCCTGAAACTCACTAGGCATGCTGAGTGAGGAAGGGTCTTTGCTTGGGACAGGGGTCTCCGGCTCAGGGGGTGTGATTTCTAGTATTGTAATGAGGGCAGTTCAGACTAAGGATACATGAACTCTCAATTCTCCTGCCAAGTTTGCAACATACATAAAACACCCCAATTAACCATCTTTCTCAAAGTCCAGTGCCTCCAGCACATCCTTGGTGAAAGGTACCAAATGTTTGTTCTTCTGACAGGACGTTTCCTTGATTAAGCAGCACTGCAGCCATGAGATGTTCCTTATCAGGAGCACTGGCTGCTATTCAACAATTAATCTCCAACACTTTGGCTTCCTCTAAATGAGAGGGTGGGCGCAGGGGGCTTGGTGGTCTCACAGTCCCTGTCTGCACGGCTGGTCCCTGCCTTGCACAAGGGCGTAACTCCCTTGTCTCTCAGAACGAGAGAGCTGGGCTGCGTGAGCTGGCACCTGGCCTCCACAGCATTACCCCTGTCTGCCCCAGTCCCTCACCGAAATGAGGACATTCCCAAAGCCCGATGCCTGGCTTAGGAGTTTGCTCAGTTCGAGCGTCTCTGTCTCGGTTTCTCAAGGCGGTTGTCTGTGACAATTGTTCACTCCGGCCTGGAGCCTTACAGGGGGGCACAGAGGACACGAGAGGTGCCCCTCCTTTGCGGGGTCCAAGGGGAGTTTTGTAGCATCTAGCCCATCATTTTAGTGCCCAAAGCCCCATTTTAGGGCTGAAATCTCCATTTTTAGGGTTCAAACCTGCCTTTTATCACCCACAGCCTTTTTTAGCGCCCACATTTCCATTCTGAGGGTCCAAACCCTAAAGGCAGAGCCGGTCACCTGGCAACATCTGACCAGAGGTTGGTGGGAAGTCAATGGACTCAGGACAGCCAATCACAGTGGAGGAGGCAGGGGCAAGGCAGGTGTTTGACAGGTAAACGGCTGATCTAGCCTCAGGGTGTGCAGGAAAGGTGGTAAGAGTCAAAAAGCTGGGCAGCATGCAGGGACGGGACATGCCACCTCCACCAATCGCACCTGGCAGGAGATCACCCCAAGGGTGATTGATAAGTTCTCTGACCTTTTATTTAATGGGAGAAGCAGGAGGGAAAAATCTGGGTCAGCCAATCAGAGTAAACATCACCTCAGGGAAGGCAGGCACTGGGGGTCAGTTAGCTTTCAGACAGCCAATCATCACATCAGGGCAGGACAGGCTGCAAATCACAGCAGAGTGACAGCCCAAGCAGCCAATCAGACGTCAATACCTCAAAAGGAGAGCAGACACTGAAGCCCAGCACACTGAGTACCTGGGGACCAATCGGAGGCAGCATCACCTTAGGGGAGGAGACTGACAGCCCTCCTGACCTGTGCTGGTGAAGGCTGAGGTCAGAAGAAGATGGGCTGCACCGACATCCATGGCACACATGGGTCCTGCCCCGAGGCCGAGCAGCCCCCGGCCCAGGCTCAGGGCTTCTCTTCCCCCTTCTACCACCTCTTCCCCCATCACCAGCCACCCTCATGTTATGGAACCGCCTGTGTCCATGGAAGCCATGCAGAAAGTCGGTATCCGGTGGCTGTGCACTGGAAGGCAGCCATGGGCCCCCGGGCCTTTTTTTTGGAGGAGGTGCGTGACGTGGCTGCCAGCCAGCGTCTGCCCTGAGGTGGTGAGGACAGGGGGGTGTGACAGGGCTGGGGTCTCCCCCCCAAAGCAGGGGGGTCCCAGGGCTGATGCTCTCCCCCACCCCCACAGCTCCTGCACATCGTCTCCTTCCTGAAGCTGCCCGCCCTGCTGGGACGGGGCCAGACCTGCCGCTGCCTCCACAAGGGCTGTGACAGTGAGGCCGCCTGGCACCTCCTCTGCACCGCTCTCTGCCCCACCACTGCCAGCGCACAGCCCTGCAAGAGGGCCACCATCCTCAGCTGTGCGTCTGTCATTGCCAAGAGATGGATCAGGCATGGCGCTTTGTCTTCCAGACTCATCTTTAGAGTCCAAACTTTTCTTTCAGGATTAAAGCCACCATTTTAGGTACCAAAGCCTCATTTTTAGGTACAAAGCCTCCTATCTAAGTTCCAAACCCATCTTTGAAGGTTCCAAGATTCATCTTAAGGGCCCGAAGCATTGGTTTCAAAGTTGAAAGTCAGATTTGGAAGGTGCAAATCCTCAGTTTTAGAGTCCAAAGCCTTCTCATAGAGTCCAAAGGCTTTTTTTCTGAACCTAACACTCATGTTTAGATTCCAAAGCTCCTTTTCAGGAACCAAAGCCTCCTTGTAGAATCAAAATGCCTCATTTAGTGCAAAAAGTCTCATTTTTTAAATGTCCCAAGCCTCATGCTGGGGGTCTAAAGGCCCTTTTTTAGATTGAAAAACCCTAATTTTCAAAACCAGAGCAGTTTCAAAGCAGAGGACTCAAAACCTAACTTCAGGGTTCAAAGCCTCAGTTTCATTTCCAAAGCCCCATTTACAGGGCCCAAACCCCTCTGCTATTAAGGCCCAAACCTTTCTTTGTACAGTCCAAACTCTGCTTTCTAGGGTTCAAAGTTTATTTTTTTAAGGTTCTTCTACCTTCAATAGACTGGATGCTTCAAAGGAAGATTTGTTCCCTCAAAAAGAAGTTTTGTCATATGATTTAGTGGTGAGTAGTCCTGTGAGGAGCAGTGGGTTGGAACTCAATGGGCCTTACGGGTCCCGTACAAATTGAGCTGGTCTATGACTCTAAGCCAGGGGCACACTCCTAGCCTAGCACAGACGCAGGTAGCAGAGCTATCACACACCCCGTGCACGAGCCAGGGTCTTTCTCCTGCTCTGACACCACCTCAGCCACCAGTGACATGACAGCAACCTGGAAAAGGCAGATGCAAGCTCCTGGCCTATCACCTGCTCCGTCACCCGTGACAAGAAAAGAAGCAGCACAAGCCTGGTGCTGCTTCCTACCCTGTCACCTAGCTGGGATCATGTGACATCACAAGTACATGTGCCCGGAGTCCATTCATACCCAAGACACCATTCACTCCTTTGTGACCTCAGACGAACCTGCAAAAGACACAAGTTCTTTCATAGCCAAAAAAGATAGTCAGCCAGCAGTGACATCACAATCCGCTGTCTGAGCCAGGCCCTGCTCCCACCCCAGCTCGGACGCCTGTGACCACACAAGCACCTGCACATGCCAGGGGCAAACTCCTGCCCTATCACCTGTTGCGGCCGGGATGTGGGACTCGACCAATATGATCCATAACAGTCAACTTTATTAGTAAAGAATCTAGATTATATAGACAGCACTTAACTGTGATTAGTTACTATACATAAACACTCAGTGCAACACTCAGCTGTGATTGGTTACCATACATGAAAACATCTATCAGCAAAACAATCAGCAAAACACCCCGGTTACATAATCAATACTCAAACTATGATTGGTCAGTATTCATAGAACGACTGTTTACCTGCAGCTGGCCTGAGAAAGGCCTGTTTTCCTGCAACCGGCCTGGGGAAGGTTTGCTTTCCCACAACCAGCCTGAGAAAACCTTTGAGGTTTGTGCTGCTGCAAACCTGTGCTACTACAAACTGATCGAGTCCATATTCAGAGTGTCTGGGTTGCTCACAATATGTCCCTGTTTCTCCAGAAACCCTACAAATCCCGCTTTTTGTTTTTGAGCAACCCAGATACTGTTAAACGTCTTCTTAACCACCTTTATGGCACAACTTATCAAACATC